GCGCGGCGGGTGCTGCGCGGCTGGGCCCCCTGGCGCGCGTGGCCTCATGCCACGAGGGCCCAGCACCCCGCCTCGTGCTGCGGGGCTCCCCAACGCCCCGCCTGCTGCAGGGGACCCCCCTGCCTCGGGGTCACCCCCCGCCCCGATGGCCGCACCACCTGCCCCACCGCGCTCACCGTGTAGTTTCGGTACTCGGACTTGGCCTTGCCGGACTCAGGCCCCTCGGAGGGGTCGGCGCCCTGCGGCGAGAAAAGCCAGGCTGGGGCAGCAGGGCCGCATCCTGCACCCGGCCTGGCAGCCGTGGGGCGGGAGCGAAAACACCCGGGGACAGCGCCTCTCTTGAAGGTCAAGGGGACGCCGTTGCCAAAGGAAGGCCCTGAATGCACGGCACCGCGCAGCATTGCGTGGTGTCACGCAGCATCGCGCAGCGTTGCATGGTGTCACGCAGCATCGCGCAGCGTTGCAGGGAGCTGCACAGCAGCGCGTAGCATTGCATGGTGCTGTACAGTGTTGCACAGCATTGCATGGTGCTGCAGCATCACACCGCGTTGCACAGCGCTGCGTGGCATCGCGCAGCGTCGCACCATGCTGCTCCGCTGCCCCATTGCGGTGCGGAGCCGGGGCGGTCCTGCCGGGGTGCAGAGTAGGGGTCCTGGCCCGGGCACGGCTGGTTTAGGGCAGCAGCTCCCTGGCGTCTCTGCCTCGGCGAGGCCTGCGGGTGCAGCTGAGCCCGCGGGTGTCACCGGGGACGGGCGCTGCCTGCCTGCCTGTCCCTGGGGGTGAGGGCCGGCCCCCGCCCCCGGGGGTCGCTGGGCGGGTGGGGCCCCCCCGCCACGGCGGGCCGCCCGCCGAGGGGCGAGCGTTGGCTCACTCCCCGTGGGGCTGGGATGGACGTGGGGCACGGAGGGGCTGGGACCCGCTTGGGGTGGTGTCCCCGTGGGGCTGGGTCCCCCATGGGGCTGGCACCCCCACGGCAGGGAGGGCATCACCGAGGGTCCTGGGGGATCTCCTCCACCCCCCAAAAGGCGACAGCCCCCGTGCTGAGCTGCGCGGCCCCCACCCTGTGCAGAGCTTGGGGGGGTCCCCGAGGGCTGCTGTCTGTCGGCACGGACCCCACGGAGGGCGATGCTTGTGGGGCTGTGCCCCACGGCCCCGGGGACGGGGGCGCTGCGGGTGCCGTCTGTGTGTACCTAGGAGGACCTGTGCCTCCACGCGTGGGGTCTGGCCCCGAGGCGCGGGGCGATGCGTGTGGGGGCCCACCCTGAGGCGTGGGGTGCCGTGCAGGGCCCTGACCCTGACGTGTGGGGCGATGCCGATGGGTCTGACCACGAGGTGTGGGGCGCTGGGTCCCGCCTGCCCGTACTCACCGCCCGGAGGCTCCTCATGCCGGCCGTGGCGAGGGGCGGTGGGCGCACGGGCTCTGGGGCAGCCACCAGGACCCCTGGCTGTTTCCCCATGGGGGGCGGC